ATACATGGGTTTCAATGTAACACATATGCACAATTCCAAGATCTAACTGTACTTACTTTGCTTCACCTTTAAATTGTATTTCATCTCAAAATGTTTTGTTTGATAAATACAGAACATTTATAAAATTTAAAAAAAAAAAAAGAAACGCTTTTAATTTCAGAGATATAAATGAAGGTCAATGGAATTGGTTTTTTTAGCATTCCACTATTATTGCCCAGGGATACTGAGTTCTGGCTTCACTTGCCTTACGATTGGCTTCTAAGGCTTAAGACTATTACAGGCCCAGGCTGAGTCTGGGGGGAGAAACATCTATCTGCCACCTCAGCCAGGAATAATTGCCAGAAGTAAACTTTGCAGGTGTCCAGAGAGAGCACCAGAGCTCTGACACCAGAAACTTAGGCACAATAAAAACTGATAAATAAACAGGTCCAGTCAAAGGTTAACTAACAGCTTACACTGACAGGGGAAGAACAACTCAGAAAACGAGGGTGAGAATGATTGCATAACTTGAAGAATGTAATCAATGTCACTGAAATGTATATCTAGAAACTGGTGAATTGTTGCAGGTTTTGCTGTGCATATTCTCAACTACGACAAAATACATAAAAAATTTTTTTTTTTAATTTAAAGTTAACTAAGGACTGTCAAAACATATTAGTCAACAAATGTATGCCTATGTGTTTCCTGTTCTGGAAGTTCTTGACTAACCAAAACAATTGTGTTATAATCAGTCTTGCAGCAACCATATATGTAAATGGTAGCTTATGAGGAAGTGCATGTTTAAAAAGCTGGCATACCAGGGGTGTGTGCATGAGTTCAGGATGGTCAAGAGCAGGCTCTGGAACCAAAGCTCAGCACCACACTGGGTTTCTAAAGCCTCCTATATTGGCTTCCTGTTGCTGCTGTAACAAATGACCAGAAACTTAATGGCATAAAATGACACAAATTTATTATTTCATAGTTCTGGAGGCCAGATGTCCAAAACAGGTCTCAACAGGGTTAAAATCAAGGTGTCAGCAGGGCTTCATTCCTTGAGAAGGCTCTAAACAAGAATCTGTTTCCTTGTCTTTCCAGTTTCTAGAGGCTGCCAGCATTCCCTGACTCATGGCCTCTTACCATCTTTAATGCCAGCAATGTCATCATTCCAGCCTCTGCTTCCGTCATCACATCTCATTCTCTGACTTGAACTCTCCTGCCTCTCTCTTTCCCTTATAAGGAAACTTCTAATTATTTTGGGTCCACCTGGACAAGCCTACCTCTCTAATTTAAGGTCAGCTGATTAACAACCTTAATTCCATCTGCAACCTTAATTCCCCCTGACCATGTAACGTAACCTACCCACAGGTCCTAGGGATTAGAATGTGGGCATCTTTGGGGGGGCATTATCCTGCCTGCCACACCTCTGTTTCTGGATTTCCTGAAAGTGAGGGCTGAAAAACAGAACGGAATCCAAGAAAGGCTTTACAAATTGCCCACAATGGAGATATTCAAGCTGGTGCTAGATATGGAATAGATGGCCATTTGGCTGAGATGATGTAGAAGAGAATTTTTAAGCAGACCTGAAAGTCCAAATCTCCTGCGGAGCTTTTTAAGTATTCATATTACTGGGCCCTAGCTTCCCAAAAATTGTTTCAACAGGCCTGGTGTGAGACCTGAGAAACTGTATCCTTATAAAACTCCTCCTGGAGATTCTGATGTACAGCCAACTTTGAAATCACGAAATCTTTCCAGCACTGCCCAAGAGAATGTTCTCCAATGATAGAAATGTTTGATATCTGTGCTAGACAATCCAGCAGCCACTGGTCACAAGTGGTTATTGAGCACTTGAAATATGGCTAGTGTGACTGAGAAACTGAATTTTTTATTTCACTTGATTTAAATTTAAAAAGCCAAGTGTAGCTAGGAGATAAATGATTTTTAATGTTCCTTCCAAGCCACAATGCTGAACCAGGAGAATTCAACGTGCATGTTCTTATTTAATAACATCATTTAATTTATCAATGGTTTTCAACAGTCCCCATTAGTGGAGACCTTTAGGAAAAGTCTAACTTCCAGCCACCACCATACAATGACTTTTCCTTTCCTTTGGAACAGACAGGATCAGCGGACTTTACAATCATCCTTTGTGCTTCTGCAAGGTTCACTAAGATCACCTGATCCTTCTCAGAGATTGGGTAACTATTGTCAATGAGGGAGAAAAATATATAATCACTAAAAATATCCTATTAAAATCCTCCTTTGTTCAGAAGTCATGCTGCTTGCCTTTGATTTCCTATAATACTTCCACCAATGTCATATATAATTTAGTATCATCATTTGACAATGTCTCTTAGTTTCCGAGTACTGTAGTAACAAAAATACCACAAATGGGTGCTCTTTAGATAAAACACTTACCAGTGATTAAGTTTAGGATTCGCCCTACAACAGCCAGATGGACAACGTCTTTTTTTCCTAAAGTCATATTAGTACCCAATAGCAGGGATAAGAAGGTCTCTGTGATCGTTAAGGTTGTGTGTCAACTTGGCTGGGCCATGATTCTCAGTAGTTTGGCAGTTATGATGTAGTCTGGCAGTCGTATGATGATGTGATCAATTCCATGACGAAATTTGATATAATGTGATCACCTCCATGATGGGATCTGCTGTGAGTAGCCAATCAGTCAAAACGGAGTTTCCTTGGGGGTGTGGCCTGCATCCAGTATAGGTGGACTCTCTTGCAAGACTCATGGGCTTTTGCTCACTCTAGATCCTGCAACTGGCTCCTGTTTGTCTGACCTCCAGTTCTTGGGACTAGCAGCTTACCTGCCATCTTGCCCGCCAATCTCAGGATTCGTCGGTCTTCGCACCCTGTGAACAACAGCCTTGCTGTCTGATCTGCTGATCTTGCATTCGCTGGCCTCTGTGGCTATGTGAATTAGGAGAAGCCTCCAGCCTGACTCACGGGCTTGGGACGTTCCAGCCTCTACAGTCACGTGAGCCACTTCCTTGATATAAATCTCTCTATACAGATACACACTTTACAGGCCTAACATATGGAAATACATTGGAGACCTGAGGTGACATGAGGGAGACAGTGACTCCTCCTTCCCATGTAGAACCAAACTCTCTTTTCTGGTCTCATCTCCCACCATATACCTTATGTTAGTAATCTATTGCTGCAAGACAAGTACTCTAAAGCTTTAGTGACTTAAACCAACAACCTTTATTATCTCACAGTTGCTGTGGCTCAGGAATCCAGGCACGGCTTAACTGGCTTCTCTGGTTCAGGGTCTTGAAGGAGGCTGTAATCAAGGTGTCATCCAGGGCTGCAGTCACCAAAAGATCACCAAAAGATCATTGAAAACTGTATTGGGCTCAGTTCTACTCTGAAATACACGGAGTCGCCATGAGTTAAAATCGATGGCAACTGGTTTGGTTTCTTATTTTACCCATATTATGGAGGGTGATCTCCTTTACTTAAAAATAACCAATTATAAATGTTAATCACATTTACAAAACACCTTCACAGCAACATCTAGCCTAGTGTTTGACCAAATAATTAGGCATCATAGTCTACCCAAGTTGACACATAAAATTAACCCATGGGTTAATTAACAATAACCCATGTCTTATATTTGTTCATGAATTAATTCAAAAACTATTTAATTCCTACTGTGTGCTAGGCAGTGTTGCAAATGCTGAGGATAGAGCAGTGAGCAAAATAGACAAAGCCCATGTCCCCTTGGGGCATACATTCTGGTAGGGAGGGAGACAGATAATAAACAAGTAGATACATAGTGGAGCGGACAGCAGGTAAGCAGCAGTGATGACTTACAGCAGGTAAGGGGCATAGTGGGTGGTGGCAGAGGTAGGGCTATTTTATACAGCATGGTCTGGGGAGGCCTCTCTAAAAGATCACATTTGAGCAGAAATATGAAGGCAGTGGTGGAGCCAGCCATAAGGATCTTTGGAGGAAGAGTGTCCTCAGCAGAGGGGACAGCAAGTGAAAAGGTGGCTGATGCATTCAAGGAACAAGAAGACGTTCTCTGTGGTTGGGGCACAGTGAGCAAGGGAGAAAGTAACTGGAGGTGAGGTCAGAAAGGAAACCAAAAGCCAGATCTTATAGGTTCTTATAGGTCATTAAAACGACTTTGACTTTTATTCTAAGAGGGGAGCTACAGGGGGTTTTCCACGAAAAGCAGTAACTTAAAATATAATAGTTAGGAAAAAAAAATTAGCCCCCTGCTCTATAATTTCAAGATACTATTTCTAGTTCTCTGTTATAGGGAAGTATACTTTGCTTTATAACAGCTATATTTCAAAATATAACTATATTAGGTATATATATATAATATAGTTAGTTGATTCCATATTTTCTAATTTCTTCCTTTAAAAAACATGTATTTGAGAGTCCTGGGTGTGTTCAACTGCTTTCATGCACAGATAAGGAAAAGGAAATCACACAAAACAATTCCTGGGAAACTAGGATCCATTCCTTGCCTAAAGTCAAGCAACTTCAAAGAGCCTAGGTGACAGCCTAGGTCATATCACCTTGATTAATTACATAAAGCCAGACTCCAACCGGCAGATCCTACTGAGAGGCTGAAACGGCATCTTGTAAAGCAAATGCCTCAGACCATAAACGAGGTGGAACCTTAGAACTGGCCCAAACCTCAGTGAACTGGTTGTTGTAGGCAGCCAGGAGGCTGTCTGGATGTAAAAAGGACAAGAAAGAAGCTTTGTTTATGCTTGCACATTAGCCAAACCTCCAGATGCATTGGCCCAGGGTTTCGGTGAACGGCACTTTTTCATCACTGCCTTCACTGCATACCCAGCCTCAAGCTTGCATGACTGTGCTGCCAAGAAGTCACCTTCGGACTTCAGAGGGTCTATAATTAGTAAACTTAGATAAGCAAATGGAAAATAGTTATATCAGAAAGGGAGAGGTCAGCACAGGTGGTTAGGAATGGCTTGGGGGGGGCAGACTGTTTTACCAAAAGCAGCATATATAAGAGAAGGTAGAGAAATGCTACACTTGCAAACTCTGGGATCTGTGGACTGGGGAGACGTGGACAGGAGAGGAGAGGAGATGGCCTGGTCTGCCCTCCATCTCCTGAGCCTTCTCTGGGCTGTGGCTGGGACCGGTACCCAGATCCGAAGCTCATGCTGTGAGTGTGGTGTTATTTCCAAGCAAGCCAGGGAAGCAGCTCCCTGGAGAAAGGCACAGACCTCAGACACTAAGGTTTGCCAATGAGAAAACAGCTGAAAATAACAATCACTATAGGAGTTCCAAAATGGATAAGTCAGGATGTGAGTGTGAGTTGATCCTCTTCACTGACTTAACAGTATATGTTGTTTGAAGGGCAAGTGCCTGTATCTTGTAGTAAGAGAGGTTGAAATACTGTTGCAGGAATGATGGCTAATGTTACAAAGACAGACACTTTGTGGCTTTTTGAACAGGTACCGGCTTTGGTAGGTGCTGAGAACAAGTCACATCCCAAGTCTTTAATATCCTTTGTGAAATAAGGAGGAAAAAAAAAAAAGAGATGGGAGGAAATCAGTAATTTCTAGAAATGTGCTGAAGATAATGTGAAATGTCTGCGAGTCGTAGACCAGTCCTTGGAGTTCACGAAAAAATACCTTTCTTGAAGATATGGGCATTTGAGAAGCTATAGGAACTGACTGGTTCAAGGGAAAATCTGTGTTTTGCCCATTTCTCTTCATAACCACCCCAAAGGAGCATCCCTTAGCATACCAATGCTAATCCTATCTTTTCCTAAAAGGCATAGGTGAAGCCGCAAACATGTTTCTGCAAAGAGGGAACCAAGACTAAGGGTTTAGTAGATTCCTTTTCTCTTCTCAGCTGTTCCCTCTGGCCAGCAGCCCTTGGTTAACAGCCTTCAAGTGCTCATGGAGAGCTCTGTGACTTCATCGGCCTTGCCAAACCCCAGCGTCCTCATTGCCATGAACTTGGCCGGAGCCTACAACCTGGAGGCCCAGAAACTCCTCACTTACCAGCTCATGGCCAGTGACACCAACGGTGAGATCCAGAGTGCCCCTGCATGCTCCCTGAATCTCTGCACACTGCTCACCACACCTGGACCCAACTCAGGCTTGTTTCCCCACCCCGAAGCTGCCTCTGACCATATGCTAATCATACAAACACCTTTCCCTATATAGCTGGAAAATACCTGGAAAGAAAGAGGTGTGAAAGTCAGAGCATTCACAGAGGAGGGCAGCAAAGTAGATAAAGAGCTCTCAACTAGATGTAAAAAGAGCGGACTTCCAGTTCTGGCTCTGCCACTTATTAACTCTGTGACCTTGAATGTGCCCTTGATCCCTCTCAACCTCACTTTCCTCATTTCCAAAATACAGCTGATTCTAATAACAATAACAACAACCATAATAAATTATCTGTTCTGCCTACCTCACAGGAGTTGCCTTGAGATGTAAGTTACATAATAAAATTAAAATTTTCTAACTATAAATCTTTCATATACAAATTTGTATGGGTGTGCTCGTTGCTTTTCTAATCAGATACCAGGGTTTCTGGATAGAGTCATCAAGTCACACGGAGGCCATTAAATAAGATATTCTTTAAATGTTTTTTCACAATTTTTCTTCCTTAGGAAAGACATCCAAAAAAACACTCTAACCACCTTATAAAAAAATCAAATAATCTGGATAAGAAGTAGAGATCTTGGCCTTGGCCCCTGGTGCCCTCCTCCCTGAGCACGACTTTTAGTGTTTGCTTCTCTCTCTGTAGATCTAACTATTGGTCAGCTCGCCCTCACCATTATGGCCCTCACCTCCTCCTGCCGAGACACTGGGAATGACGTATTGCTTCTACAAAACCAAATGGAGAAGTGGGCACCTTCAGGTAAGATCTCATTGGAAGGGAAGGGAGAGTGAGGCAAATACACCTTTCTGAGAGTTTCAAACCCAGAAATGAGGGAATGAGGGGTGGGAGAGTGGAAAGTGAGCAAGGAAAGACAATGTACACTCCAATCCAGCTCCCTCTGAGAAACCCACAAGTGAGAGAGATTCACTTCCAAGCCAAAGTTGTGAACCTGATAAGATCACTACCCAGGGTCACAGGCCTGTCATGCCTAGCACCTGCCTGAAGACATCATCCTTTTCATTTTGTTCCAATTCCAGACGACATTCCATCTTGCATATCCCGAGAAACAGTGAAGTTATCCTTTGCCAATACTGTGGCTTTCTTTTCAGATAGGTTTTCTGGCAATTTCCATTTAAACGATTGAGCTTTTCCTCCTTCACAAATGACCTCATAATGTTGAATGTTAGTCTAATGAAGTCTCTCTCCCCCTCTAAGGCTCCAACGCTGAAGCTTCATCCTTCTATGGACCAGGTCTGGCGATCCTGGCACTGTGCCAGAAAAACCCCGAGACCACTTTACCAATAGCAGCCCGCTTTGCCAAGTCCCTGCTGACCAATCTCTCTCCCTTCAATACAGGTGAGTAGGTCACAGCTTCAAACACTGCTCTGAACTGGGGAAATCCAAGGGCACCATGCCCTGAATTGCTGGAGGAGAAAGCGGGAGGAAGGATTTTTACATGGAGGAGGAGCTGAGGACCATGAACATGGGAGATGATTATGGGAGATAATTAACAGATACTTGTTGGACAGACATGTGAATTAAGGAATAAACAAATGCAGGGGGCGATGATAAAACATAGAAACCAGGACAACATTTGAAAATGTCTAGCAGCCACAGAACCTCACTGGGAACAAGAAACACTCCATGCATGTCAGGAATTGTTCCCAGGCAAATTAAATACTAAATCAATGTCTAGATTCAGCCCTATCCTACATTACACTCAAAAAAACACCTCATTACTGATGCTTCCACATTCTGTTCTTCTCAATGTTTCTTCTTAAAACATCAAAGTATTCTCTCTCCGGTAAACAACTACTCTCTGAGCCCTAAATCCATGATGTCCTCTTCAAGGAAACATTGAGACCATCTCATTCCTCCACTTTGCAGTTGTTTGTGACTAGAAGATCTTTCCTCTATGACACCACGTCCTTCTTCTTTCCACCCCAAATGCTCCCTTCCCTGTGGAATGCCCTCTGTGAGGGCCACCATTACCTCTTCATTCATGGTCACCTCTTCTCCTATACCCTAAGTAATAGCATTATCTTAGCTTTTCAATCCCTTATATATGCCTCAAGAAGCCCTGGTGGCACAGTGGTTAAGCATTTGGCTGCCAACCAAAAAGTTGGAGATTTGAACCCACCAGCCGCTCCATGGGAGAAAGATGTGGCAGTCTGCTTCCATAAAGATTACAGCCTTGGAAACCCTATGGAGCAGTTCTACTCTGTCCTATAGGTTCACTATGAGTTAGAATTGACTCAATAGCAGTGGGTTTTTTGGTTTATATATGCCTCATCAGCGACCTCTATTATTTAAGGGGCTATCAAACAAGCAAGCAAGTAGATATTTAGTACTCTCCCAGGTCAAGACCTCTCTTTCCTATCTGGAACCTCAAGCATTCCCAGGACCGTCTCTGTCAGTTCAGAGTCTGGATGTCTTTACTTTCGTGTTTCAACAACACTGTCCCCCTTAACTAGGTTATGCAACTTTCAGGTGGAGATTAGCAAGGGCAGGGGAAAATATATGAAAGGAGGGATGTCATCTTCCAAGTCTTTCATTTGGTCTGGTCTCATCATGTCAGAGCACACACGTTTCTTATGTGCAAACAATGAGAAAAGCCCTGTGCTGGATGCTATGAGGGATGCAAAGTTCCTGCCATCTAAGAGCTCGCACAGCATGATAACAAAACACAGCAGCGACTGCTGAGACAGTGAAACAAGTACAAACAACAAATGCTAAACGAGTTCAAAAGGGAGGCTGCACCTGTTATGCTGGGATGACCAGAGAAGGCTTCACTGAGAAGTGGTAATGGCTGGGCCGTCAAGAACTTGTAGTATTTTGAAAGACAAAGACTGAGGACAAGAGAAATGGGATTTAATATGACTGCCAGTCTACATTAATTAAAAGCATGAGCTGTGGAGTCATACAGATCTGGGTTCGAGTCCTGGCTCTGTGACTTATTAGCTACATAACCTTGGCCAGTTACGTAGTCTCTCTGTGCCTCAATTTCCTAATCTCTTAAATGGAGATAACTACGGGTATTTCACAGGTTGTCCTGAAGAGTAAATGAGATAATACACTTGGTGCACAATAAGCACAAAATCAATGTTAGCTGTTCATATTGTTGTGGTGGTTGCCTTATCCCCCCTCCCTGTGATTCACAGACACAGGAGCAATAGCAACCTTGGCTCTGACCTGTATGTACAACAAGATCCCTGTAGGTTCAGATCAAGGTTACAGAAACCTGTTTGGTCAGGTACTAAAGAGTATCGTGGAGAATATCAGCATGAGGATCCAAGACAATGGCATCATTGGAAACATCTACAGTACTGGCCTCGCCATGCAGGTAAACACATCATTGATGCTCTTTGTTGGGTACATGCCAGTGAGTCTGGATCATGGGATCAAGAGATTAGGCTTCTGCTAATATCTTCGGGAAAGACAAGTTACCGTGTGACTTGAGATAGATTCCTTATGGTATCTGTGCCTCAGTTTCTCTACTGGTAAAATGCAGGTGAGTGTTAATTTTGCCCTACCTCAAAGGTGACGTGTGAAAACAAATCTATATGAACTCATTTTTTTTCATTGGAAGAAAAGAAACAAATAAATCCAAGAACTCTTTTGGTTTATTATTAATAATGATCAATTTGTTAATAATAATTATAAACTATTAAAAGTTTGATGTATAAATAATAAGGATATTGAAGTGAGCCCTCAAAAAAATACTGGATTTTCCAATTCAATATCCAATGTGGGCCAGGTACTGCTGATGTTGTTTTTTCCAGACCTTTTTATCTTGATCCAAAAAAGGCAGGCTTGAATTCAAAATGATTAATGAAAATAATCTAACTCTGACTGGACACTTAATATTTGTCAGGCTCACTCACAACCTCAACCTCATTTCAACCTCACAAATAGCCCTAGTGAAAAGCAGAGCCAGATCTGTCTGGTAGCCAACTCCATACTCCATCCTATGCTTCCCCAGCAAAGACTGCCAGGCTTGGATTCTCTAAGATGCTGACTGGTATAGCTCTAAATACAAACTCCCATTCATTAGGGTAGCATCCTCCCATGGAAGGTATATGCACCAATGACAGTGGGCAACGATAACCAACTGGAATCAGAAATCAAAGAGCCATCTATAGCCAAATCCTCTCCTCCAAACTAAGAACATTGTGCTCCAAAGCCTCAGCATATCCTATGGAACAAGGGTATACTATGTGACCTCCCCAACTCAGGAAGTCCAGGAAAGAGAAAACTGCAGAGTTATAAAGTCAGCCATAAACCTAATTAGCTCTCTGTTGGCAAAATGGTTAAGCGCTCAGTTACTAACCAAAAGGTCAGCAGGTCAAACCCACCAGATGCTCCATGAGAGAAAGATGGTGGCAGTCTGCTTCTGTAAAGATTACAGCCTTGGAAACTCCATGGGGCAGTTCTACTCCGTCCTGTAGGGTCACAATGAGTCTGAATCAACTTGTTGGCAACAGGTAGTTTTAGAAATAAATCACTTCTTAAAGGGGGAGAGAGGAATGAAGACATATGAGCAATTAAGGGATAAAAATTAGAGATAGGCATAAATAGCTTAGAACTTAGCTCAGGTTAAGTATAGAAGGAAATACAAAATTCCTATCCCAATATCCTCTGTATGTTGTGTTGTTGTTGTTAGGTGCTGCCAAGTCGGTTCCAACCCATAGCGACCCTATGTACAGCAGAATGAAACACTGCCTGGTCCTGCATCATCCTCACAATCATTGCTCTGCTTGAGCCCACTGTTGCAGCACTGCATCAATACATCTCACTGAGGGTCTTCCTCTTTTTCGCTGACCCTCTACTTTACCAAGCATGATGTCTTTATTCAGGGACTGGATTCTCCTGACAACATGTCCAAAGTATGTGAGACGAAGTCTAGCGATCCTTGCTTCTAAGGAATATTCTGGCTGTACTTCTCCCAAGACAGATTTGTTTGTTCTTCTGGTAATCCATGGTACATTCAAAATTCTTCACCAACACCGTAATTCAAAGGCATCAATTCTTCTTCCGTCTTCCTTACTCATTGTCCAGCTTTCACATGCACCTTAGTCCTCAAAGAGACATCTTTGCTTTTTAACACTTTAAAGAGGTCTTTTGCTGCAGCTTTTCCCAATGCAGTGCATCATTTGATTTCTTGACTGCTGCTTCCATGGGTGTTCACTGTGGATCCAAGTAAAATGAAATCCTTGATAACATCAATATTTTCTCCGTTTATCATGATATTGCTTACTGGTCCAGTTGTGAGTATTTTTCTTTTCTTTACGTTCAGGTGTAAGAAGGCTACAGTCTTTCATCTTCATCAGTAAGTGCTTCAATTCCTCTTCACTTTCAGCAAGCAAGGTTGTGTCATCTGCATATTGCAGGTTGTTAATGAGTCTTCCTCCAATCCTGATGCCATGCTCTTCTTCATATAGTCCAGCTTCTCAGATTATTTGCTGGGCATACAGATTGAGTAAGTATGGTGAAAGGATACAACACTGACGCACATCTTTGCTGATTTTAAAGCACTCGGTATTCCCTTGTTCTGTTTGGACAACTGACTCCCTGGTCTAAGTACAGGTTCCTCGTGAGCACAAATAAGTGTTCTGGAATTCCCATTCTTCACAATGTTATCCATAATTTGTTATGATCCACACAGTCGAATGCCTTTGCATAGTCAATAAAACACAGGTAAACATCCTTCTGATATTCTCTGCTTTCAGCCAAGATCCATCTGACATCAGCAATGATATCCCTCATTTCATCTCCTCTTCTGAATCTGGCTTGAATTTCTGGCAGTTCCCTGCTGATATACTGCTGCAAGCCCTTCTGAATGATCTTCAGCAAAATTTTACTTGTGTGTGATATTAATGATATTGTTCAATAATTTCTGCATTCTGTTGGATCATCTTTCTTTGGAATGAACACAAATGTGGATCTCTTCCAGTCAGCTGGCCTAGTAGCTGTCTTCCAAATTTCTCTGCATAGAAGAATGAGCACTTCCAGCGCTGCATCCGTTTGCTGAAACATCTTAATTGGTATTCTATCAATTCTTGGAGCCTTGTTTTTCACAAATTCCTTCAGTGCAGCTTGGACTTCTTCCTTAAGGACCATCAGTTCTCGTTGGTACTACCTCCTGAAATGGCTGAACGTCGACCAATTCTTTTTGGTACAGTGACTCTGTGTATTCCTTCCATCTTCTTTTGATGCTTCCTGGGTCGTTTAATATTTTCCCCATAGAATCCTTCAATATTGCAACTCAAGGCTTAAATTTTTTCTTCAGTTCTGAGTGTGTTCTTCCTCTTTGTTTTTTAATTCCAGGTCTTTGCATATGTCCTTATAATCCTTTACCTTGTCTTCTTGAGCTGTCCTTTGAAATCTACTGCTCAGCTCTTTTACTTCATCATTTCTTCATTTCATTTTAGCTATTCTGCGTTCAAGAGTAAGCTTCAGAGTCTCTTCTGACATCTATTTTGGTCTTTACTTTCTTTCCTGTCTTTTCAATGACCTCTTGCTTTCTTCATGTATGATGTCCTTGATGTCATTCCAGAACTCATCTGCTTTCGGTCATTAGTGTTCAATGAGTCAAATCTATTCTTGACATGGTCTCTAAATTCAGGTAGGATATACTCAAGGTTGTACTTTGGCTCTTATGGACTTGTTCTAATTTTCTTCAGTTTCAATTTGAACTTGCATATGAGCAATTGATAGTCTGTTCTGCAGCTGGACCCTGGCCTTGTTCTTACTGATGATATTGAGCTTTTCCATCATCTCTTTCCATATATGTAGTCAATTTGATTCCTATGTATTCCATCTGGTGAGGTCCACATGCAGAGTTGCTGTTTATGTTTGTAAAAAAAAAAAAAAAAAAGGTATTTGCAATGAAGAAGTCATTGGTCTTGCAAAATTCTATCATGCAATCTCCGGCATTGTTTCTACCACCAAGGCCATATTTTCTAACTACCAATCCTTCTTTGTTTCCAACTTCCACATTCCAGATCACCAGTAATTATCAGTGCATCTTGCTTGCATGTTTGATCAACTTCATACTACAGAAGTTGGTAAAAATCATGAATTTCTTCATCTTCATGCCTTAGTGGCTGATGTGTAAATTTGAATAATAGTTGTAATAACTGGTCATCCTTGTAGGTGTATAGGTATTATCCTACCACTGACAGCTTTGCACTTCAGGATAGATCCTGAAATGTTCTTTTTGACAATGACTGGAACACCATTCCTCTTCAATTTGTCATTCCTGGCATAGCAGACCATATGATTGTCTGATTCAAAATGGCCAATACCAGTCCATTTCAGCTCACTAATGCCTAGGATATCAATGTTTGTGCGTTCCATTTCATTTTTTACAATTTCCAATTTTCCTAGATTCATACTTCCTACATTCCATGTACAGCCTTTGATCCTCCATAAACCTTTCTAGACCAGGCCCTGGGAATACTCTGTGTATGCTCAGCTGTGAAAACAAACAGAATTGTTGTTAATGGCAATATCCCATTGATCGTGACAGAGAAGCTGACTTACTTTGTTCTCATTAGTCACTCCTATAGGAACATTCCCAGGGCCAGCTGTAGGAAGCTTTGTTGAGGATCAAAGGCCATCTGGAAGGGACTGTCTTTGTGTCTAACTTAACTAACCTTCAATTCAGTGCTAGACAGAGAAGTGTTTGCTTTTTCTAGTTTGGTTTGTGAATTTTGTTTGCTATTTTATCACTTGCAGGGTACACTCTGATAAGTTGTACCTGGGAATAAAGCTTTTTCTATGAAAAGGCAAGACGTCATCCATACCCAGATACCGTAGGTCATGTGGATTTCAAGTCAGTTAGGACATGTAACCTCTCCCTATTTCCCTCACTGCCCATTATCTGGAGTTTACCCAGGCAGTGTGGAGTGTGAAATCACCAGGTGTCTAATATATACCCTTGTTCAAATCTAAAATGTTCTGGTTTAGAAAAGCAAAGGGCTCTAATAGAGAAAAATAATGAACTGGGTTTGAATCCCAGATCTGCCACCATCTTGGGCAAATACTGAATTTATCTGAATTTGATTTCCCCACAGTAACAAAGTTGCAACTAAGTTAGATGAAATGTGGTATAAAAAAAAAATCACAGATACGATGTGGTTCATGGTCTCTCCCAGCAGAACAGTAGTGCTATTAACCCTCATTCTCAGTCTTCCCTCACCCTCATCCTGGATGCCAGTGCCCTTGAAGTAGCCCGAGCCACCCGCATCCCTTCCCTAAGACATTTATGGGGTGTTTCCTTTGTTCCAGAATTTTTCCTCTGTCTTCCATGAACATTCAATGCCTTCATTGTTCTCTGATAGGAACTTGGGAGAAGGGATCTCATCCACTTCTTCATGCAAAGTTATTAATGACTTCTAACAGCTCAATGTGTTACCAAGATACACTTCTGTTGATAGAATTTAGGAGGTGATATGACAAGTGGACAAAATACTGTTGCTGAGGAATACCTACCAGATACCCATTAATCGAAACTGCCTTATAAGGTAGCCTCTGGCAAGAACCAAAGTTCACGGTTGCCAAGGTTAATAGTGATGGTCATACCTGTCCCAACAGCTGGGTTGCTCATACTACTGCCTCTAGCCGAGACAGCCATTTCAGATTCTCCTCCCTCTTCTCGCATCTCCCATCCTAAACATCAGGCGAATCAGTCATCAGCAATCCAGCCCCTTAACATGCTTTGGTTGCCATGCTCAGTACAACTCTAAAGGGAGGTGGTAACTATGGCTTACATTTCACAATTACAAAATGCTTTTACACATTATCCCATCTGAACCTCAAATATCCCTCCAAACATGGGCAGGAATTATGGTTTCTATTTTACCACTGAGATATAAGACTGAACAAGGTTAAATGATTTGCTTGGTGTATTAATTGAGACCTAAATAAAGGACTCAAATCATGCCATCAGGGAAAACTCTTTATCTCTCAGTTCTGTTTCCCTCATTCTCTCTTGCTGCATGGTTTCTTCAAAGTGGCTGAGGAAGATGATCACTAGCAGCTCAACGCTTCTTTACATGGTCCTAGTCGAATAACCTCAGCAGGAAAAAAAAAAAATGCTGCTCTCTCCTAATGTCCGTGTATCAGGGAAGGACTCTGATCAGCACATGTGCCCACCAACCACTGATGCCAAGAGAATGAGGGACTATGATTAGCCCAGCCCAAGCCATAGGTCCATCCCTGTGGCTAGCACTATGGAGCCTCTGAGGTGACAGTCCCTGGTGGCGCAGTGGTTAACACGCTCAGCTGCTAAGTAAAAAGTCGGCAGTTCGAACCCACCAGCTGCTCCACAGGAGAAAGATGTAGCAGTCTGCTTCATAAAGATTACAGCTTTGGAAACCCTATGGGGAGTTCTACTCTGTCCTATAGGCTCGCTATGAGTCAGAATCAACTCGATGGCAAGGGGTTGGTTTTGGTTTGGAGTGACTCCTGACATAATCACGAAGTGTGGGAGAGACTCACCAATGGGTGTGTAGGACAATGACTACTACCTCTTGTTGCCGGGTCCTCTGAGACTAAAGCTCCCTCCGGATCTTGCTTTGTCCAGCAATCACCCTCATACTATACCCAAGAAATGTTAGTAAATACAGCACCCTTAAGTGTTCCCTGAATCTGATCATTCCACAGATATATGTTGTTTGACTATTATGTGACAGACACTGGGCTAAGTGCTGGGGACTAGCAGTGAACAAGACAGATGTAGTTCTGAACCTCATGCAACTTTGATTTCGGACTCTGGATGATCTCAAAGATTAGTGATCAAATCTGTCCCTTAAAAGGCTTACAAGGGCCAACTTTCAGCTATGCCTAATCAATCTCCCTTCCCTTCCCTCCCCTCCCCTCATTCCTCTCCCCATCCTTATTCCCTGCAGGCTCTCTCCGTCACACCTGAGCAACCTAACGAGGAGTGGGACTGCAAGAACACCATGGATACAATACTTCAAGAGATTGAGCAGGGGAAATTCCACAACCCCATGTCCATTGCCCAAATCCTCCCTTCTCTGAAAGGCAAGACATACCTAGATGTGCCCCACGTGATTTGTAGCTCTGGTAAGAACTTTTAAAATATCTGCCTCTCCTTATGTCATCAAGTGGCAACTTGTGCCAATAACATTATGTGGATCAATTTTAAGTGGCATGTACGCTTGCTGTCTCCATTATACCTATGTGGGCTGAGCCACATGTGACTTCCAATTCTCCAAACATTGTGTGTTAGCCGTTATGCCCTCAGAATTCAGCCTCCTCCCCCCAATGTCTACTTCATCCAGCACACATTTATTGAGCACCTACTACAGGTAAAGCATTTTGTGGGATGCTGGGATGGGGAAGTCCAGGGTCCCAGCAATCAAATAACATATAACTCCATTCATTCACTTAACAAGTGTACCAAACATTATGCAGTATCTTATCATGTCTGCTCTTTACAAAGTCAGGAGACAGATATATAGACAAAAACTACAATACAGTACTTGGAAGGATTAAATAATTATTAAATAGAAATGGAAGTCATATACAGTACAAAGATAAAGGATTTTGTCTAGGAGGCTTAGGACAAGGTCAGCGTTGACATTTCAGCCAAGCCTTAAAGATCTAAATACCAAGCCTTAGCACTCACAGCACAGCAGAGAGATGAGGAAGAAGCCTGGCATGCTACTTTTTTGCTTGACATATCTTTATTTTATCCAATTACAAATACAGAGATACATATAGTTCAAATACTGCAGAAATACACACTTAGAAAGTAGAGTCCAGCATAAAAATGTTATCACTGTAGAGATGGCCAGTGTTTGGTATGAATTCCTCCAACTCTTCATTCTAACAAAATACTAGCATGGAGTACTGTTCATCTTATGTGGCATGGACATCCTAAAACAGACAGAAATTACTAAGGTGCTTGCATATCTCAATGCAGAATTCAGAGACCAAAATCAAGCAACCTGATCCCAATCTTACCAAACACTACTACATTCAGCTAGCTCCTTAAGGTGCTTCCCAATGATTTACCAACTTTAACAAAGTGGCCGTGGAATTCTTGCTAGGATTCTACCCTAGCTGTCCAGGGACCTTCTTAAGTGGTCTAAAAATGTACTACCTTTGCTGCCAGATTTATGATACCTGTTCAGCAACTGAACAGCAAGTATTATGTAAAACACAAGACTTGCGGCTTTCAAGCCTCCCTTCAGACTGCAAATTCTTTTAAGAAAATAATGATCATTGTAAAGCTAGCTGTGAGCTCTTCAGTGACTCTGGAATGTAAATAAGAGCTTCACAGATCACACTAGTTCTTCATAAAAATCCAGAAAGGCATTGCCATTTCTTGAAATGTTTTCCAGGATGAGCTGCCAATAACAGAGATTCTGTACCATGATACAAGTCCTGTAATCTATGACATCACCACGTGTCAGTCAATTTGTCATTTTGTGGTGGCTCGTGTGTTGGTATGATGCTGGAAGCTATGCTACCCATATTTCAAATACCAGCAGGGTCAGCCATGACTTTCCAGATTCAGACTAGGAAGAAAGGCTTGGCAATCTATTTCCAAAAATTAGCCAATGAAAACCCAGTGCATCACAACAGAATATTGTCTGATACAGTGCTGGAAGATGAGCTCCCTAGGGTGGAAGGCACCCAAAAAACACAGTGGCCACAACAATGGATGCAAGCATACCAACAATCACGGAGATGGTACAGCACTGGGCAACATTTCCTTCTGTTGTACATTGGGCCCCTATGAATCAGAGTTGACTCAACGGCAACTAACAACAACAATCTTTGACAAATTTGATCTCTCTGTTCTTCACAGATCAAGAGGTGCAACCAACTCTACCCAACTATCCTAGCCCTGTCCCCACCTCACCATCCAACATCACTGTCATATACACCATAAATAACCAGCTGAGAGGGGTGGAACTGCTCTTCAATGTGACCATCGATGTTAGTGTGAAGACTGGGTCAGTGCTACTTGTTGTCCTACAAGAAGCACAACGCAAAAGTCCCATGTTCAAGTGAGTATTGCAAGCAACGTTCACCATTCTCCCTGGGCCACCCATTCTCTCTCCCTTCCTTCATATTTTATTTTTCTTCCTTCTGATAAGTTAACAGATTTTTATTTAACAGTCTCTTAAAGTGTTCACAATCTAGTAAATAGGCAAGGCTTTCATGAAAAAATTAAATTATACAAGTCAATATAGGATGAAGTATATAAAAATAAGAATTGAGAGGAGAGAGAGTCCCTTGTGGATTAGAACAGTCAAGGGAGGCTCCATGGCTTTGGATCACATACAATGAATAGATGCTGTTTAGGAAGGTATGGGAAAGGAGGCCCTAGGAAGAGGATATGGCTAGAACAAGGCATTGGAGATGGGAATGAGCAAGGAACTTGGGGTCAGTCAGTAGACCACCTTGACTAGAAAAGAAAATACAGGGCTGAATTAAGTGAGTAATATCTGGAAGGGTAGGGCGGGTGATAATGTAAAAAGCCTTAAATGCCAGGCTAAGGAGCCTGGGCTTCATATTGTAGGGAAGCGATGCAAGTTTTTGAGTATGAACAGCCATGTTATAAAACATTAAGTGGATTATAAGAATGGAAGACAAGAAGAAAAGCTGGAGGATGACTTGATAATGAAGCTGTGAGGTGATGAGACCTCATCTGTATAAATGAGAACCTCATCTAGGATAAATGGACTCATACCAATCAAGGCTCCAAAGGACTGAGAGCCACTGGATGTGTGGGGGTCAAGAGAAAGAAGCTTCAAAACCATTGATAGGAGTGTCAGGAATAAAAAAGGATTTTTAGAGAAAGAAACTTAATTCTTTTTAGGCATATTTAATTGTGAGTGATGAAAACAGAAAAATTAGAAGGCTTCTGAAGACAGAGAACAGAACTTAGAGAAAGATGTCAGGGAAGGAGAAAGAGATTGGCTAGTCATATGATAGAGGTGATGACAGAAGTTTTGAAACTGTGCATTAGGTGACAGATCCAATACACTCAACAAAACCGTTAGACAAGTCTAATTGTTCCCACTTTACAGACAGAACCACTGAAGCCCAAAGAGGTTAAATAATATTCCTAAGATCGCATGACATGGAACTAATAGTGTTGAGATCTGAATCCAGATTTAACTAACTCTGAAGGTCACATTCTACTTCCCTATCAATAAAAGGGCAGAATATAGAAATAAATCACAGAGGAAAAAAACTTTAACTTTGGGAAATGTCTATAGTTTGCAAAAAGAGGAAGCCGTGGAGAAACATGGAACAGTCTAAGCTTAGGGAGGAGTAGAGGGAGAGTGTCAGACCATGGAAGGGAAAAAAGAAGATACTTTCAAAGGAAAGATGGTGTGATCCACAGCATCAAATTCTGCAGAGAGATGTCAAGGAGGAAGACTGACAAAAGCCAAGGAACTGGCCACTGATACACAGGGATCTATTCCACAGGGCTCTGTTGAGTGCACTGTGACTGCTGCCCATTGCCCAGCTTCATCTGCCCATTGCCCAGCTTCACACTGTACGTAACTTCCATAGACTGACCCGGTTAAAGCTACATTTCAAGAATATTTAATTTTCAAAGCACCCTTCTGAATGTACTTTACTTCTCTAAGCTAGCTTTCATTCTGCCTGATTCTTCTTTTTCTGACTGCAAATGTGATAAATGTACATAATAAAAATCTTGAAGGGGAAAAAGCATAAAGAAGAAAACAAATAATCCACAATCCATCCTAACATAACCACTATTAATTTTTATAATTATGTAGCTTTTGCTACATATATTACACACAGTTGTGATCCATCATATACATGGTATAAACAGATAGCTATTTCATATAAAATTTGAATCCTGCCTTTTACTTAACATTATTGCATAAGCATTTCCCAGGTCACTGAAAACTACTTAGAAATGTGATTTTCATAACTGTAAAATATTCAATCTTGAATATTCATTCCATCATTTATCTAACCATTCACCCATTGTTGGGCACTTACATGTTTTAAAATTTGCTTATTGATTCATTTTAATTATATTTAATTCCAAGTAATTTCATATTGATGAGTCATATGCATTTCCTCCTTTGAGCATGATTTCATCTGATCTTTAAAGCATTTAGAATGTCTCTGCCCCTTCTTCTTTAACCCCCTATTGCCTGAACTAAGGTGAGGCATTAGCCATCTCTGGTTTTGTTCTTACAGATTTGAAACCACAATGACATCCTGGGGCCTTGTTGTCTCTTCTATCAACGATATTGCTGAAAATGTTAATCATAAGACGTACTGGCAGTTCCTTAGTGGCCAAACACCTTTGAATGAAGGTCAGAAAAGAAAAGGAATCTGGACATTTCTTTCATAGTTGGAAGAATTCTTTCTTTCACTCTTTTAATTCATTCATTCATTTAATCAATTAATAATTACAGGATTATATATACGTATATACAGTGATTAGATATAGAGTGTTATATATGTATATATAGCTGGATGGATGGATGGACCAATGGAGGGACAGACGGACGGACGGACAGAATTTTGTTGTTAGCCAACAAGTCTATTCCAGCTGACTGCGACTCCAGGTGTACAGAAGATAACTGCTCCATAGGGTTTTCAAGGCTGTGACCTTCCAGAAGATTGCCAGGCTATCTTCTGAGGCACCTCTAGATGGGTTTGAACCACCATCCTTTCGGCTAGTAGTCAAGCACTTAACCATAGATAGAGACATAGACAGACATCGCTGTCCAAAGGTAACTGAAAAAAAAAGAAAGAAAGAAATCGAGATTTCTGACTCTACCCCAAGCCAGTGGGGAATTATTTAGGGAACAAGTGAAGTGGATTAATCTACTGAAAGCAATAAAGGGCTAAAGGAGGGAAAAGGAGATAATGTGAGCAAGGCAAAAAAAGGTAAGATGTAAAAGTAGTATGTGCCCTAAGAAAGGTGGCCATTTGGGGATTAAAATATCAAACATGTATGTGCAAAACAAAACCACAGTGAATTCACAGCCAGTTGGAAACAAATATGAGAGATAAGAATAATAGCTCATATTTGTATAGTGATGTTATCTTATTTCATACTCACTTCAACTCTGTGGGTATTATTGGCTCTCTTTTTACAAAGAAGAAAACTAAGTCTGAGAGACACTAAAGGCACTTGTACAAGACACGCATCTAGTATGTGATAGAGCAAATATTCCAATCCAGGTCTCCAAACTCTAGCTCTCGTGCTACCTTCATCTCAAGAAATTCCTGAAGACAAATTGGGTTTATTCTCATGTCAGCCAATTACTTTTCTTCTCTAGAAGATGGAATGGTAAAGAGAAAGGCCAGGAATAAATGAAGGCCTCAAAAATCCAAAAAGATTTGGGCCTAGGATTGCCATTCTTCCTGATGTCTGGCTACTTGAAAGCTAGTTATGGATATTACCATTATGTACCTTTCCTGCCTGGAAAGATAAGAATTCTCAATCCACTGCCTTTCCTTCTTTCTTATAAAATCTTCAACAGTGAGCATGAGCTCATCCCTTGCATGCTCTAATTTTGGCCTAAATAAGCCATTTTCACTAATAACCAGCATTTACTGCACATGTATTATGTATCAGATTCCTGATGGAGCAGTGGTTAAGAGCTCAGCTGCTAACCAAGAAGTTGGCAGTTCGAAACCACCAGCCACTCCTTGGAAACTATGGGGCAATTCTACTCTGTCCTATAGGGTCACTTGAGCTGGAACTGACTTGATGGCAACAGATTTGGTTTTGGGGGGATATTATGTGTCAGGTGGTATATTAGGCATCTGACAGTCATCATTTCTAATCCTGAAAATAACTCCTCAGAGTAAATACTCTTAATACATTTTACAGTGAAGGAAAGGTGGCTCACAATTTAAATGGCTTACCCAGAGACACATTCCACAAAATGGTGATCTAGACACTAGAAACAAGAACCCCTGCATCAATTTCATGCTTTTTCCACACTCATCAAGCTGCCCATTTCACTCTTGGATAATTTTATACCTCTAGCAAATTTAATGTGTTCATTCTTTGGAGGGCAAGGGTGTACAATGATCAACTCATGTTATTTTCTGTTTGATCCAGGTGTTGCTGACTATATACCCTTCAACCAGGAGCACATCACAGCCAACTTTACACAGTACTAAGGAGAAGATCAACTCAGGCGCCACCCAATCTCTCCAGCTGATGGGTGGATTTTTTTTTTTCACTTTTCATTTCAAATTTATGAAAAATAAAATATTTATGATGCTATTATATCTCTGGTTAAAACAGAAAAGAAAAAAGGTAGAAACCACTACATTGAATAAAAGATCCAAATGTCCCTGGAGTCTCGACATTTATGACCCATGGAAGAATATGTGCAGCTTCAGTTATCATTTAAACCTAGGGTGAGAAGAAAGGGGGAAAGCAAGTTGATATTTTTGGAGATGGTTCTGATCTTCTTGATTGATAGGCCAACATATTCCCTTATTTCTACAACTGAAATAATATATTAAAAATCTTATTTTTCTTTTTTTATTCCAAATGCTCTTTTTCAAATCACCATCTATAAACATACATACATATAGTATCCCCTTCAATTTCTAATGTTTGTGCTGGGTGAAATCAAGTTAAACAGATATGGAGATACATATAGAGACAGACATAGATATAGATGGGTATAGATCTTTGAAAGAAAAATTTAAGCTTTCAAAGACAGTTGTAACTCTAATCGCTGCTGGTAGGAGTCCACACTGGTAACCTTTTTAAGAGTGTAATATGAATATTTGAAAATTTTAATCAAAAGGCCTAAAATATCCTTAGCTTTAACCAAAAAAGAATCCCAATTCTGGAATTTATACAAAGGAGAGGATCATAAGAGCACACATGTTGTTCTTGTTAGGTGCCATCGAGTCGGTTCTGACTCATAGTGACCTTATGCACAACAGAACGAAACACTACCCGGTCCTGCGCCATCCTGACAATCCTTGCTAATTTTGAGCCGATTGTTGCAGCCACTGTGTCAATCCATCTCGTTGAAGGTCTTCCTCTTTTTGGCTGACCCTCTACCAAGCATGATGTCCTTCTCCAGGGAGTGGTCCCTCCTGATAACATGTCCAAAATATGTGAAACAAAGTCTCATCATCCTGGCTTCTATGGAGCATTATAGCTGTGCTTCTTTCAAGACAGATTTGTTTCTTCTTCTGGCAGTCCATGGTACATTCAATATTCTTTGCCAACACCACAATTCGAAGGCATCAATTTTTCTCTGGTCTTCCTTATTCATTGTCCAGCTTTCACATGCGTATGAGGAGACTGAAAACACCATGGCTTGGGTCAGGTGCACCTTAGTCTTCAAGGTGACATCTTTGCTTTTCAACACTTTAAAGATGTCTTTTGCAGCAGATTTGCCCAATGTAATATATCATTTGATTTCTTGGCTGCTGTTTCCATGGGCTTTGTTAATCCAAGTAAAATGAAATCCCTGACAACGTCAATATTTCCTCCATTTATTGTGATGTTGCTTATTGGTCCAGCTGTGAGATTTTCATTTTCTTTATGTTAAGGTGTAATCCATACTGAAGGCTGTAGTCTTTGGTCTTCGTTAGTGTTTCAAATCTTCTTCACTTTCAGCAAGCAAGGTTGTGTCATCTGCACATCACAGGTTCATGAGTCTTCCTCCAATCATGATGACGTGTTGTTCTTCATGTAGTCCAGCTTCTCAGATTATTTGTTCAGCATACGGATTGAATAAGTATGGTGAAAGGATACAAACCTAATGTACACCTTTCCTGATTTTAAACCATACAGTATCCCCTTTTCTGTTCAAACGACTCCCTCTTGGTCTATGGATGGGTTCCTCATGAGCACAATTAAGTATTCTGGAATTCCCATTCTTCGCAACATTATCCATAATTTGTTATCAACCACACAGTCGAATGCCTTTGCATAGTCAATAAAACACAGGTAAACATCTTTCTGGTATTCTCTGCTTTCAGCCAGGATCCATCTGACATCAGCAATGATATCCCCGGTTCCACATCCTCTTTTGAATCCAGCTTGAATTTCTGGCAGTTCCCTGTCAATATACTGCTGCAGCTGCTTTTGAATGATCTTCAGCATAATTTTACTTGCATGTGATATTAATGATATTGTTCAATAATTTCCACATTCTACTGGATCACCTTTCTTTGGAAATGGAACATATATGAATCTCCTCCAGTCAGTTGGCGAGGTAGCTATCTTCCAAATTTCTTGGCACAAATGAGTGAGTACTTCCAGCCCTTACATCCGTTTGTTGAAACATCTCAATTGGTATTCCATCAATTCCTGAAGCCTTGTTTTTTGCCAATGCATTCAGTGCAGCTTGGATGTGTTCCTTCAGCACCAGGGGTGGATTATCCAATAGGCAAGGTAAGCACGGTGCTTACCTTGCTTACCAGATCATCTATAGTGAACAATTTCACATTTTTTCACCACATCAAAGATTCTGCTTCTAGGTATGGCTAGCATCTTCCTGTCTCCCAACCCCACAGCACCTTCCTACAGAATCAAGATGTGTTTTCAAATTTACAATCCCTGACGGGCGGATGATCTGGTAAGCAAGGTAAGAACCGTGCTTACCTTGCCTGTTGGATAATCTGCCCGTTTAGTACCATTGGTACTTGATTATATGCTACCTCCTGAAATAGCTAAATGTCAACCAACTCTTTTTGGTGCAGTGACTCTGTCTATTCCTTTCATCTTCTTTTGATGCATTCTGCATCATTCAGTATTTTGTCCCAAGAATCCTTCAATATTGCAACTCAAGGCTTGAATTTTTTCTTCAGTTCAGTCATGGATTAAATTGTGTCCCCAAAAAATGTATGTCAACTTGGCTAGGCCATGATTCCCAGTATTGTGTGTTTGTCCACCATTTTGTAATCCGATATGATTATTCTATTTTTGTAAATCCTAATCTCTATGATGTTAATGAGGCAAGATTAGAGGCAGTTATGTTAATGAAACAAGTCAATCTACAGGATTACGTTCTATATTGAGTCAATCTCTTTTGAGATATAAGAGAAGTGAGCAAAGAAACAGGGGTACCTCATGCCACCAAGAATGAAGAACCTGGAGGGGAGCATGTCTTTGGATCTGGGTCCCTTCGCTAAGAACCAGGGGAAGACTGATGACAAGGACCTTCCCCCAGAGCCAACAGAGAGAGAAAGCCATCCCCTGCAGCTGGCACCATGAAATCAGACTTCTAGCCTCCTAGATTGTGAAAGAACAAATTTCTCTTTGTTAAAGCCAACCATTTGTGGTATTTCTGTTACAGTAGCACTAGATAACTAAGACAAGTTCTTTCAGCTTGAGAAATGCCAAGCATGTTCTTCCCTTTTGGTTTTCTATCTCCAGGTCTTGGCACATTTCACTATAATATTTTACTTTGTCTTCTCGAGCCACCGTTTGAAATCTTCCATTCAGCTCTCTTACTTCATTATTCTTATACTCACTTTAGCTACTCTAAGTTCAAGAGCACGTTTCACCACTCATCTGTCAGTTGGTCACACTGTGGTGGCTTGAATGTGGCTGAGATGCTAGAAGCTATGTCACCAGTATTTCAAATACCAACAGGGTCACCAATGGTGGACAGGTTTCAGTGGAGCTTCCAGACTAAGAGAGACTAAGAAGGAGCTTGTGATCTACTTTCAAAAACACTGGCTACTGAAAACCTTACGGACAGCAGCAGAACCCTATCTGATAAGAGTGCCAGAAGACGAGTCCCTCAGGTTGGAAGGCACTCAAAAGACAACTGGGAAAGAGCTGCCTCCTCAAAGTAGAGTCGACCTTAGTGATGTGGATGGAGTAAAGCTTTCAGGACCTTCATTTGCTGATGCAGCATGACTCAAAAGGAAAAGAAATAGCTGTGAACGTCCACTAATAATCAGAACATGGAATGTACAAAGTATGAATCAACGAAAATTAGAAGCTGTCAAAAATGAAATGGAACTTTTGAATATCAACATCCGAGGCATTACTGAGCTGAAATGGACTAGTATTGGCCATTTTGAATCAGACAATCATACGGTCTACTATGCCAAGAATGACAAACTGAAGAGGAACAGCATCACATGCAGAGTCAAAAAGAACATTTCAAGATCTATCCTGAAATACAACACTGTCAGTGATAGAATAATATTCACAGCCTACAAAAAAGACCAGTTAATATGACTATTATTCAAATTTATGCACCAACCACTAATGCCAAAGATGAAGAAATTGAAGATGTTTACCAACTTCTGCTGTCTGAAATTGATCAAACACACAATCAACATGCATTGATAATTACTGGTGACTGAAATGCGAAAGCTGGAAATGAAGAAGGATCATACCTTTTTTCAACAATGTAAATGGTGACTATACACATGGACCTCCCAGATGGAATACACAAGAATCGAAATGACTACATCTGTGGAAAGAGACGATGGTGAAGCTCAGTATCATTAATCAGAAGAAGGCCAGGGGCCGACTGCAGAACAGACCATAAATTGCTCATATGCAAGTTAAAGATGAGGCTGAGGAAAATTAAAACAAGTCCATGAGAACCAATGTACAGACTTGAGTATATCCCACCTGAATTTAGACATCATCTCAAGAATAGATTTTTTTTATTGTGTTTTAAGTGAAAGTTTATAGTTCAAGTGAGTTCGTCATACAAAAATTTATACACACATTCATATGTGACCATAGCTGCTCTCCCTATAATGTGACAGCACACTCCTCCTTTCCACCCCCGATTTCTCCTGAACATTCAACCAGCTCCTGTCCCTTTTTGCCTTCTCATCTCACCTGCAGACAGGAGCTGCCCATTTAGTCTCACGTATCTACTTGAGCTAAGAAGCACTCTCTTCATGAGTATCATTTTAGGTCCATAGTCTAGTCTAATCTGTCTGAAGAGCTGGCTTCAGGAATTGTTTTGGTTCTGGGCTAACTGAGAGTCCGGGGGCCATGTCTTCTGAGGTCCCTCCAGCCTCAGTCAGACCATTAAGTCTGGTCTTTTTACTAGAATTTGAGTTCTGCACCCTACTTTTCTCCTGCTCCATCAGGGACTCTCCGTTGTGTTCCGTCAGGGCAGTCATCGGTGGTAGTCAGGCACCATCTAGTTCTTCTGGCATCAGGCTGA